GAATAAAACATGAAGTTGTCTAAGGGAAAATACACAGCTAATAAAAAGGAAAGGGACTATAGGGACTGCGGACGCCGAGAAGCTGTACCTCAAGTCTCCACATTGCTGGCCAACCCGAGCATGCTAATGACCGCCGTTAGGACCGACTCCAAAATTTGCACAAAAAGGCAAAGTGTAGTATGAGTAACACCGACCCCATGTACTCTTAAGTGTCGATCCTAACCTTGACGAAGTAGTGACGAGGCTAAGACGGGTCACATACACTATAACCTGTACGCAGTACAATATAAAGATAAGAAAGGAAAATATAGAGCAAAATAAGGTAGCTAACTGAAGAAAATAGCTAAATTCTCGGAGAAAACCAGTGAAGGTCATAATTACCAATCCTTATAGTTTCGTATAAACAATACCGAAAACCAACACAACACAAGGAAATAGAAACACATAGATTGTTGCGGCGCGCAACCCGATCTCACTGTACAACACAATCCTCCTGAAAGTACAAGAGGGGGGTGAATTACTTATTAAAAAACTTATGTAAGTAGTTGATAGTTTTGCAATTAGTTGACTAGAAATAAAAATTGGATAATAGTAAATATAGAAATAAAATGCAGGAAATAAAGATACCAGAGTTTTTATATTGGTTAAGATTCAATGTGAATCCTAGTTCAGTCCCTTTGGGTTGCAAGGGTATTCTCTTTCAGTGATCGATAATTCCTGTGTACAGAAAAGATGATGTAGCTTTACATCAATAGCTTAATCTCTAGGTCTCTTTTCTTTTCTTGATACAATGCCTCACTAGACCCGAATAAGGCAAATAACCTCGGGCTGCCAGGACCCTATCTTTGCGTGGAGGTGTGGATAATTTTTTCGGGCCTCATAATAATCCTTGAGACGAAATTTGTTTGAGGACCCGTGGACCAGGGACACCGATGACTTCCTGAGGGTGGTCTCTGAACGGAGGCCTGCCTGTGCTCGGACCATCCTAGATAGCACCCAGAGCTCGTTTCGTACAGGTGCTTGTTAAAATGCCTATTTCTTCGCAAGTTGGTTTCCCTTGGCGGAGGCCTTTGAAGCCATGTGCCAATTTGGTAATGGCATTGTTAGCCCTTTTGAGCACCGTCTTGCTATGACGGAGGTTTATGGGGTTGAGTATTACCTCGAGACTAGAGGTGGTACTGATGGTTGGTGTCTTTGGTAGGCTTTGAGTCATTGCTGCTCTTCCCATATGTGACATGAGGCTGCTTCCGCCTTCCCAGGGGTCATCAGGGTCTGCTGACTCCATGGCACCGGTGGATCATGCCCTTAACGGCTGTTATTTGGAGGACGGTGGAGACAGGGCATGGAAAAGTCACTCCGCTCGAGAGCTGACCGCTGAACCAATACCTTTGAGACCTACATTACTTGTTTAAAAAATGGAACAATACTCTTTAGGTCGCGCGCTCCGCGCTTTGCCGGTTCTGCCTATGGCAATAGTGAATTCAGTAGTCATGCCTTCCTTCCTCCGTCGCATTTGTACGGGCATTGTTGGCATCGGATGGTCCCTCAGGGAAGAGGCTGTGCCCCCTCTAGAGAGGGGGAGGAGTTGTAGGCTTCCGAGATGGGGGATAATGGCAATAAATGAGATATGCACTCATAATACGATGGAGCTTTTAATGGGGCAAGACGGGCCTGTGCTTCTAAGGAGAGCACATCATCCAAGCCTACTCTTTCTGGAGTCTTTGGCTCTAGAGCAGTGGTTCTTTCGAATGATTATGCCCGGCCGGGATACGTTCTTCCGGGCCAAAAAAAGGTTGGGCCAACAGGAGTGTGATCAGCTTTCGTGGAGGTCCGCCGACTTTATTTTGCGGTGAGTCTTGGCATGATTCTTCCGCAACTCGTTTCTTCCCTTTCTTATCAAGTTTTCCCTCCGTAAGACTTTGATAGGCTCAGGTTTGAGCTGCTCCATCAAGGGGCTAGACTTCGGGGGGCCCTGGATGAAGGTGAGTCCCTTGGGCTCCTTAACGAGGAGAAGGAGGGGTTGAGTCGGTGCACTGGCGATTCGGGATGTATTGGAGCTCGTATTGCAGGAGCCTTTTAATTAGGCAGGTGCCTTTTTGTGGTAAGCATTTTGCCTTTTCAACCTTTGAGTTAGGATTTTGCTTTTTTAGAAAAAGACGAAGGCTCAGGGGTACCTTAGGAGTGAAGCCGGCCGAGTCAGGAATGCTTGTGGTGAACTGAAGGTTCAAATTCAGGCTCGAGCTTCGATTTGAGTGGTCATGATTACGAAGTTGTAGTCTGATTCCTCGAGGGCCCTGGTTGGAAATAATCGGTGTCTGGACTGATGTAGCACTGAGTTGGACCGAGGATGATGAGGGAGTGGCGACCCATTTAAAGGATGTTACTGTCATCTGAGCTGAGTTAGAGTAGGCCCTCGATCGTGAGAAAAGGAACAAGGGATACGTTCGTCATAGATTTCGGGAGAGGCGCTTAAAGAGACCCGCGCTAGGGGTTCGGTTCTCCTGGAAGGGTTTGCTTGAGTGAAGGCGGTCGAGTGTGATGCTCGGTTGCTTTCTTGCCGATGCTACGGAGAGCGAGGTTGGGGCTGGTAGGCCGCAACCTTTTGGGGTGGAGTGTAGATTTTGCCATCTTGTATTTGCTGTTTACAGAGCATGTTTGTAGAAGTAGAGTGCGCCGTTCGCGCATATATAAACTAAGAGATAACTCGAAGTTTTATCTCCTTTGTACCTTTTTCCACATTGCCTTTGACCAGGTGGGCTGGTTTCGGCGTTTGGCGGGAAACTCATGGGTTCGAAGCTAATTAGGCAGGCCCAGAGGCTTGAAACTTTTGATGTAAGTAGGTGTTGGAGCTTCTATGCTTTGCCCAACTATTCTGGCTCATTCTTTGAGCCCGGACTTGACTCAAGCTTACCGGACCTCTAGTCTCCTATGCCTGCATGAGTGGATGATAATCATTTTTATTTCTTGCCCTCGGGCGTTTGTTGTTTCCACTATTTTAGGTTTAGTCTCTGATTTGCGTTGTGACTCGAGCTTCAATTGACCCTCAAGTTTTTTCGTGCCTGCATGGGCAGAAGACGATAGTTTTTATCTCTCACCGTTGGTCGTGTGTTGTTTCAATTATTTTGGGTCCAGTCTCTGAGTCGCGTTGCGGCTCGAGCTTCAATTGGCCCTCAAGTTTTTTTTTTTATTTTCAAGCTGGCGACAATGGCTCTTACGCTGTTTGTGGTCATTGAGACCCTTTGATATGTGACCTGGAGGCTTGCATAGTTAATTATTTTGGATCCGGTCTCCGAATCGGGTTACGACTCGAGCTCATTTTAATCCTCAAATTGTCAATTTTCAAGCTGGTGACAATGGCTCTTACGCTGTTTGGTCATTGAGACCTTTTAGTGTGTGGCCTGGGGGCTTGTTTGGCTGGCGACAATGGCTCTTACGCTTTTTGCCTGTGGTCATATTATAGGCTTTGTTTTCCACTCATTAAGGTCTTATGGAAATGATTTTGCCTGACTTGTCGTCGGTTCTAGAAGAACCTCGATTTCAAGTAATTACCGGCGATGTTTGAGCACCTCGGAAGGTTTTTAGCTCATAGGATGAGTAGGTCAAAGCCTTGTGATTTGGAGCTGACGTGGTCGAAGCTCGTTTGCCTGTTGAGGGAAGCCTATTTTAATTGGTTCTTTCCGACGTATATTCGAAGTAGTGGCCTGTGAATTTGTTTAGCGACGGTCGGGCATCCCTGAGTCACATTAATTTGGTTGTATCAGCCATTTTGACCGTAGTCATATGTCTTTGGCTGGAGCCATTTTTTATCCCGAGTGATAGTTTAGGCGTCTACACCGAGGGCATGCCCTTACGAGATTCTTACAAATGCGACGTATAGCCTAAACTTCGGGATTTTTGAGTTTCATGCCTGTTGAGGTCTTATAGTTTGTGTTGCTTTGTAGAATAGATCTAGTTATACCGAGTCTACCCACTGGGGGTCTTATGGACTCGGGTTTTCAAGTGTAAGGTGATTGTCGACAGTCTCCGAGTCATCGAGTTTGCTTAGGCTCGAAGGCCGTTATTCCTGAGCTCGGAGTTACCTTGTTGGGGCTTTATGAGCCCAGAGTTCTGACCCTAGGGCCGTGCGAGTGCCAAATTATTGATGCTAAGTCTCCGAGTATCTCGGGATGCATTCGGTGGAGGGGCCCTTGCTGTGAGCATGCTAAAATCCCCTTTTCTGGAGTACGAGATGAAGAAATATATTCTTTGTTTCTTGGCGTAAATATATACTGTTGTGTTGGATCGATCTGTATTAGATCATATTTGATCGCTCGATGATTTCCATATTGCCTTGCTTGAAGTTTTTGTGGTTTCAGAGTTTCGATCCGGAGGCCGTCTGAGCATTTTGAACTGCTGGCGTCCGTTCCTGTTTTTTCGGGACATTTCTGGTGAAAGAATTTGTTACCTTACTTTAAGAAGGAGTCCCTTTTCTTCTGACAAAAGGTATTCTTTGATTGCCCGATATTATAATATATGTGTCCGCCGACGGGCGCCTGACTATATGGACATGGCTCGTTCGACCGTTCGGTCCAATACATTGTTTTGCTATAGGAACCTTTCTTGGCGTTTCAAAACTCCTTCGAGCGAGTAGCTTTTTTGGGGGAATGCTCTTCGCTATCCAAAAGTCAGCTGCAAGGGAAGTTTGAGCATTTTGTGGAGTTCCCCCTTAGGCAACTCGTAGACGTTGCCTCGTTAAAAACCTTGCGGGTAAAAACCCTTCTTTTGGGACAAAAATTTGGTCGAAGGAAAAGAGTGCAACAGATGTGTTTTTAGAGCCTTGAGGTCTTCAGATAGTGCTATCGTTCCGGTAGCTCCGATCGGGTTCCTGTACAAGGGTTAGTTCCAAATTCAAAATGAAAAGGGGGGATGGTCGTACCTTGAAGTGAGATATGCTGGTGATGCCTCGGGATTGGTTCATTACAATTGCCTAGGGTGGAGATACGGCGTGGATTTCCGTTTCGTCAAGCTCGACCGAGGTCGAGGCCCGATTTGCCCTTTGGCTTATCCGGGGGCGGAGGTATGAGCATTGGTACCACGTCATGTATAGCAAACATTTTCCTTGCTGCGTGCTGCTCCCCGTAGATGGTTTTCATCCCGTCCTTTGTTGGGAATTTTATTATCTGGTGAAGGGTGGATGGTACCGCTCTTATGCAGTGTATCCAAGGCTGCCCAAATAAGGCATTATACCTCATATCTCCCTGGTTGATATGGAATTTGGTGTCTTGGGTCATGCTGGCCATGGTAACCGGAATAATGATTTCTCCTTTCATCATTTCGCTCGCCATGTTGAATCCATTGAGGGCTCGAGTGGCGAGCACGATCTGGTCGAGCAGTCTGAGCTGTTCAATCACCCTTGACCTGACAATATTGGCTGAGCTACCTGGGTCCACGAGTACACGTCTTATCTGAAAAGAATTCACAAGGAAGGAAATTACTAGGGCATTGATATGGGGTTGAGACAGGGCCTTGGTGTCCTCTTCGCTGAACGTAAGGGCAACTTTTGGAATATATCCCTGAGTCCATTTTTCTCTGGTGATGGATATTTTTGTTCTTCTCATCACGTGTTTCTACAGGGCATCGACACCCCCATGATCATGTGGATGACATGTTGCAGCTCGTTTGCCTCGTTTTTCTTGGTTGCCTCCCTTTCTCGGAACTTGTTTTTGGCCCGATTGCTAGGGAATTCCCGGAGGTGTACTTTGTTGAGCAGTCGAGCCACCTCCTCTCGTAGTTGATGGCAATCCTCGGTCCTGTGACCGTGCGTGTTGTGGAACTCACATACTAAGTTGTAATTCCTTCGCGAAGGATCCGATTGTATCGATTTGGGCCACTTGGCATCTCTGATCTTACTGATAGCGAACACGATGTCTAACACATCGATGCTGAAGTTGTATTCTGATAGGTGGGGCGCATTTGTTGGTACTATGTTTCGATCGAACCTGGTCCTGTTGACAAGACCTCAAGGGTCCTGTCCTCGATCCATTCTCTGATCATTGCGAGGTAAGTTGTTCCTTGGGGTGTTCCTCCTATCTTTGAGGTATGGCTAGTATCTTTCATTGTTTGGTTTCAATTCCTTTTCTAGGAGTCTGTTTGGGTACACTAAGCCTGAAGGGGCTCCCAGCTACTTATCCTCGGCTCTAATCTTTGATTGATACCGGTTGTGGACGTCCGACCAGGTCACGACCGGATACTCGATCAGGTTCTGCTTCAGCTGTTTTGAAGCCACTAAGCTTCGTTCGTTCAGGACTTGGGTGAAGGCATGTACTTCCTAGTCGTCAGAGACTGACGGTAGCTCCATCCGCTCCATCTGAAAGAGAGACATGAATTCCCACAACATCTCGTTCTCTCTCTGCTTGATTTTGAAAACGTCAAACTTCCTCATTGTTACCTTGATGGCTCCGGCATGTGCCTTTACGAAGGAGTCTGCTAGCATGGCGAATGAATCTATGGAATTGGGAGACAAGTTATAATACCACATCATGGCCCCCTTCGAGAGTGTTTCTCCGAATTTTTTCAGCAATACAGATTCGATCTCGTCATTCTTTATGTCGTTGCCTATTACAGCGCGGGTGTAGGTGGTAACGTGTTAGTTAGGGTCGGTGGTACCGTTGTACTTAGGGAGTTCTGACATTCTGAACTTCTTTGGAATGGGCTTCAGGGCCGCTTCCTCAGGGAACGACTTCTGTACGAACTTCTTCGAATCCAAGCCCTTGAGGATCAGGGACGCACCTGGGATCTAATCGACCCTATAGTTGTAGGTCTCGACCTTTTTATCGTTGGCTGCAATCATTTTCTCACCCGATTCAATCCTTTTGGTGAGGTCCTCGAGCATCTTTACTATGGCAGGGTCGGCTATGGACCCATTATTGCTTGATCTTTCGAGTACTTACTCAGCGGGGGGAGCTGTTTCCGGAGCTGATGTGCTGGGAGACTTCGGATGGCTTTGTAACTAAGCAATGGCCAACAGTTGTGCCTGCAACATTTCAAAAATAACATAAAGACTAACTTCATGTTCTTCCCAGGCTGGGGTCTTTTGGGCTTCTTGTCGGTTGATGTGTCGTATGCTCCTATCGGTGTGGGAAGTTTCGTCGACCTGTTGTGCATCTTGTGAATCCCCGTCCGCTAGAATCGGTCCGGACGCATTATCTGGATTCTCTTGTGGCTCTCTAGCGGCCGCGATAGCCATGCCGTTTTCCCCGTGGTTTTCGAGGTTGTCGCTCTCGACTTTATTTATCGAACCAAACATTTTGACCTGAAATCAAGAGATCTTGGACAAGAAAAAGTGTGAAAGATAACTTGCATTTGTGCAATGAAACCAGCAAGAAAATAATCATTATTATTTTTAGCCCCAAGGTGGGCGCCAAACTGTTTACCGTGAAAATGGTAACAACAATTAAATTTGTAAATGGGATTCTAAAAATACGTGATCTAATTTTATGCTAGTTGTTAGAGCAGATGATGCAAGGAAGATGAAGTTCAATGATGAAATGCAAGCTTAAATGAGACAGTCATCAAACTGATAGGTCGGCTACCGGGGTATAGGACTGGTCGATGGGGGACCTGGGGGCCGACGTCTGGGTCGAGCTCGAGCTATCGGGGGCAGTAAGGAATGGGATAACAGTTAATATATGATTAAACAAGGCTCTTTATGGCCAATACTAAGCGATAGAATGAAGAACAAGTAAGGAAGCGATAAATATTAAAGTGGCCTCGGGCCAGTGAGAACGAGCGAGTTAGAGAGAAGAGAGAGAGAGAGAGAGATATATTATTGCACTTGAGTATAATGGTTGGAGCTCTGTTTACAAGGTGTTAGCGACTCCCCTTTTATAGGAGGGGGGAGCCCAAACATAGTACAAAATACTTTGCGTGATAAAGGAAATGGGATGGGACAACTGGCTAGCTTTATGACGTATGCGTGGGCCGATGTCGAGCTACTCAGATAGACCTGATCGACCCCAGATGCATTCCTCGAGAGATTCTTGAGTTCGTTGTGACTTCAGTCGGTATTATCCTTGGTAGGGCATCGACAGATCTTGAGGGATGTGATTGGCTCGAGATCCCGGGCCTCCGGGGTCACCCTCCGAAGCATTTTGCCAAAGAGAAATCGGCCTCCCAGATTTCACCGCACACACTGAGCAATGGCACAGAACGCTGGGCCATGCAAGTTTCACGCTACTGAAAAAAATTGGTCAAGAAGGACCTGGTTTGTGGTCTACCCAAGTCAAGCTTCAAGGATCATATGGTGTGTGATGCATATGTAAAAGGAAAGCAAGTCAGATCCTCTTTCAATCCCAAAAAGGAAGTTAGCATCTCAAGGCCACTTGATCTCCTCCATATGGATCTATGTGGACCTATGAGGGTGCCAAGTAGAGGAGGAAAAAGGTACATATTTTCGTCATTATCGATGACTACTCCATATTTACATGGACCTTGTTCCGCAGAACTAAAGATGAGACTCCAGCCAACATAGAGGAACTTGGTCCCTCAATCACAATATCTGAAGCAGAAAATGGAGTTGTGGATGTTGTACATGGAACTCCAGCTGCTGAGGTGAGGAACATGACACATGGATCAAATCCAGAAGAACATGGATCCTCTTCAAAACTGTTAGGTGTCCAACTGGAAGCACAAGAGCTCATACCCTCTTCAAAACATAATCACTCCTTTTGATTTAGGAATTCAAACAAGATCAAAGACAAGAAACACACTTTCCTTCTCAGCCTTTCTCTCTCAAATAGAGCCTAAGAATATCAAGGAAGCATTGAAAGATACAGATTGAATTACAGCTATGCAAGAAGAGCTCCATCAACTTGAGAGGAACAGCGTGTGGAACCTGGTTCCACGACCAACTGATAGAACTGTTATAGGAACCATGTTGGTATTCAGAAACAAAAATAATGAGTTTGAAAGTACATTTTTAAACTCGACAAGGCTTTGTATGGATTACAGCAGGATTCACGTATAATGGGGGAACTGAATTTCTCTTAGATTTACAAGTAAAGCAAACTACCAAGCGGACAATGATAAGACAATAGAAGTACATCAAGAAGTTGCTGAAGAGATTTGACATAGAGACATCAAAAGTCATTGACACTCCCATCGCAACAGCTACTTGTCTAGACATGGATGAACCTGGTTCCCCTGTAAATTAGACTATGTATGGAGCTATCATAGGGTCACTTCTATAGCAGACCAAATATTGTTTTTAGTATGGGTCTTTGTTACGGGTTTCAATCCAAAGGAATCTCATCTGAAAGATGCCAAGAGAATCCTAAGATATCTCAAAGGGATGCAAAACCTAGTTCTCCACTATCCCTCAGGAGATAATCTTATCTTAATAGTGTATGTTGTTACTGACTATGCTAGGTATCTAGTGGATAGGAAAAGCATTTCTGGCATGGCACTTTTTCTGGGTTCATGTCTGATTTCATGGGGTACAAGAAAACAAAACTCAGTGGCCCTCTCTATTGCAGAAGCTGAATATGTGGATGTTGCATCTTGATGTGCTCAACTGTTAAGGATTAAACAGCAGCTGGAAAATTTTGGAGTATTCTCTAAGTGTGTGCCCTTACTATGTGACAATACTAGTGCACTCAACATGGCCAAGAATCCAGTTCAACACAAGAGAACAAAGCATATTGATGTGTGACATCACTTTCTCAGAGACAATGTTGAGAAAGGGCACATATGCATGAAGTTCTGCAGCACAGAAGATCAAATTGCAGATATATTCACCAAAGCCATGAGTAGAGAGCATTTTGAAATAAATCGCCTGGCACTGGGGTTGGTAAAACCCAACTGAGAATCTGGTCCCTCAATGATTGGCTATGAAAGAAATTTACAGGTAAAATTAGCTGAAAAAATGTTTTCAGGCAAAGTATAACTCATCTTTATACCATTACAGGTAGACATACATGACGATTACAGAGCAAACAAACAGCTAATGCACTGCACGTTGGTCAAAGGATGAGGCTTACATTTGCAAAATCTGTCAGAAAACTTGGTTCCCTTGACACAGGTTAGTAGTTCCTTTATACTCTCATGCATAATTTTTCAAATGGTTGAAACGGTACCATATCATTAAATTATCAGTTTCCTTTTTTCCCGATTTTTGAACCCAAGCGTCTCATCTGAAGCGACCAACTATCCAAAATTGATACCCATTCCTAACTGGTTCCTCACCCCTATTAAATAACTCCTCTCACAGTCACTTTCATAACTGTTCACATCAAAGAATCCAAAATTCCACTTTTCTTCTTCAAACCAAAAAAAACTCTCTTTTTCAACCCGCTACACTCCACCATGTCTAAAAATCATTTACAAGAACAGGAGGCTAAAGAAAATATGTTGTCAATAGTTGTTGAGGGAACTCTGGTTGGAGGTTATGAGGTTGTATCTGAGTCTCAGGGAGGAAGAAAATGGTGTAGAGGTCTAGGTGGGAAACTGATGCCTGTCGAAACTTTGGCACCTGACAGTACTACTAGGGAACCAATTGAGGGACTTGATTCCTCCATGTAAGAGGAGCCCTCTGCTTACACTTGGGATAAAACCCTTGGTT